AACTATTTGTAGCGATGTAAATTCCGATGACAGAAAAGCCATGAATGTTGTATATAAAGAAGTTTTTAGTAATACTTAGAATTATTTTTCTAATTCTTAATTATCAATCAATGTTTAGAAATTTATCTTACATAAGAATTAAATATTATACTTTGTATCTCATCATTTGCATTATTAAAATTCAACTTTTTAATAAGTATTCTTTATCTAACACAATTCAGTTTTACCAGTGGATTACTTTTAATATCTATTCAATTGCACCGAAAATTAGAAAATATAAACTTGCCTTTAGGAAAATAAGCATAATGTGGAAACGTGAGTGTGAAAAAATTTTTGGCATTTCAACCTTGAATGGTTAATAAGTAGTTAATATGAATCTAGATTAAGTGATTAACCCATCAAAAAAAAAAGGAAAAAATTGCAGTTCCCGTCATGGAATAGTTCCGTGAGAAAATTTAGCCATAAATTATCTATAATAATTGTAAGAAAAAAAATTAGTTTTGTACCGATTTATGGTTCTATTTTTTGTAAGTGGAAGACATAGAAAATTCTCGAAACCATATTAAGGTGAATGAAAAATAAATTCTAAGTTTTATATGTGGAAAATGTAAAGTTGAAGCAATGAGTTTAAGTAACTCAAATTATTGATTTCGTAAAACATTATGTTTTGATAAATGTTTGGACAAATTAAATGAGCCATAATCATGCATTATGTATGCTTGAATTGTAGAATGGTTCGTTGGGACTAGTAGGAAAAAACGTAACTTGATTCCGAATCCATATGAGCTCGTATGAGCCCGCAGCGCGCAGGCACGCAGCAGGCTGCGGAAACCAAAAGGCCACAGCCTTTGGTGACTAGAAGGTGTCTTTCGGCCTCTAGATGCGTCTATTATCATTCGGGTACGTCCCAAAAGGTGTTTATTGACACTTAAACCTCTTGGAGGTGTTCTCCACATCTATAAATACCCGCATACTTGAAATCATTAAAAACATGAAAATTAGAGAGCTCTTGCATTATTTTTCAAAGATCATATAGCATATTGTGGTCTATGATTTTTCATTGAGTCTTGAGAGTTCCAAACAATAATAGTGTTTGCCGAAAGATTGTATATTTGAAGTACCACTATATACAAGTCGAAAGTCGTTGTATCTTGGAGAAGTTTGTCGTTAGCCGTTAGTATTTTACGGGACAATTTCGTTTTAAGGAGAACGTAATTATTATGTGACTCAATTTGATTTTTGTTTCGTTCTCTTCATTCTCTTTAAGCCTTCTTATTTATATTCATAAACTACACAAACTACAATAACTAAATTGCATTCATATTTAAAGGCTAAAATTACTCGCAAAACCATTACGGGAATGTAGTCTTTTCTAAAAAAAATATAAATGTAATATAGAGATCTAGATGAGACTTTCCCGCACCTCACCCAGACGTGAGTCACCCGCATCGGGCCGTCAAATTCGTTGACTTTCTCTTCTCTACTTTTAAATATTTTCAGTCCTTTCATTTTCATCACGTGGAAACCGCCGCACACCTCGGGCCGAATGGGTTGGATTTGTATTCTCTCTCTCATTTTCCTTATCTATATCTATTTATTTATATATTTATTTATCTATAATATATAATTACAAGCTATCAAGTTAATGCAAATTATAATTAATTATAGTAAAATTGTTATATTGGGTAATCCATATTACTAAAAATAATTAATTATTATTCAGACTAAATAATATACAGAAGTTACATCCCCCTATATCCCCTCCCCTATATATTAATACAGAACGCGCTGAGCCTACGTGGCTGCTTCTGGTGCTTCGGAATCCTATGTGACAAAATTATATGCTTCGTAATTAGGCTTGGGTAAATTTTAATTTAATTCCAAATTAAAAATAATTAGGTTCAGATTACCATAAATATGTTGATTATTTATGGTCATATTACATGTATTAATTGTATTTTAATATCATTTCTTATTATAACTATTGAATTGTATATACATTTTAAAAGTTAATAACTTTTGTATTTTTTATCAGTTTTACATATATAATATATCAAATTAATCTTCTTTTGATGAGCTTCGATTTAACATCCATATTGTATGTAAAAAAAAATAATTTATATTCATCTTTATAATAATAATAAAATTATTTTTAATATTAATTAGAAAAATAAAATTATTTATCAACTAATATATTTATATTTCAAGTAGTTATATGTTATAAGTTATAACAACAAATATAATATAACACATGTAACTCATAAGTAACACATATCATTCTAAAATATATAGTAATATTTTTTTTTTGTAAAAAAGTAAACTAAATTTAATATAGTTTTCTCATTAATTTTAAAATTTAAGAATAATTTTTTAACAAACACCCGTGTAATACACGGGTGTTGTACTAGTAGTAATAAAAAATAACAATACCTATGTGTTACACGGAGACTTGTTAAAAAAAAACATATTCTAAAATTTTAAAAGAATGAGAAAAAAGTGTTTTTAAAATTTAAATACTTTTTAAAAAATATAAATTATTATAATTTATTTGTGTTTTATTATAATAATTTTTCTAACTTATAACATATAATTGTTTTCAACATGAATTCATTAATTGATAAATAATTTTATTTTTTAGTTAATGTTAATAAGTAATTTTATTATCATTATAAAGATAAATATAATTTATTTATTTTATACATTAATATGGATGCCAAATCGAAACTCATCAAGAGATAATTAATTTTATATATTATAAGTATACACCGATAAGAAGTTAAACTTTTAAAATATATTTAAAATTAAATGGTTATAATTTTAAAATGATATTAAAATAAAATTAATAAATTTAAAATGACCATAAATAATTAATGTATTTATTGATAATAGAACCTAACTATTTTTGGATTGGATGTCAAATAAAATCTATCATAGCCAAATAATAAAATATAGAATTTTTTCTCATAAGATCTCGAAGCATGCGAGCTTGCTACTTAGGCTCAACATATTTGACAATTATATATAAGAGTGATATAGAAGTTTGTTTTTTTTTTTTCAATTGTTGATTCTAAAATTAATATTACTATTTTTTTTTTTGGAATCCTATTAAGCAGACTTTTTTTTTTTAATAAACAAGCTAGTTACTTTTACTAGCATAAACAAACCCTTCAAATAATTACTATAATAATAAGGATAATTATTATTATTTTAGTATGTTTCTAACAAACTGGTTGGTAATAATCCATCAAAATTAAAAAATCAAATATTATCTATTACATTTGATGAAATCAATATAATGATTCTTGTGTAGTTAAATAAAATTATAGTATATTGTTCATTTACTAATGATCAAATTTTGTAAATAAGATGTCAATTGACTATTGTAAAATTTTAACATTATATATGCATATCATTTATAATAAGGTATACTAATTTATGATTTATATTTTTGTATGTGCACTTGATCGACTACTAGTTACCATAATAATCTATATATATTATTATAATTGTAAGCTAAAAATTTAATGCAAAAGTAATTATTTTCTCGGTCATTTATTCAAATAGTTTTGAAAAAGAAACTTTTGCATTAATCAAGTAATTATATTTTCTATTTATTATATTATATAATTGATACCACTTACTACTCATAAAGTCATGCTAAATTAATGATATATGAAAATATACTTATATAAAAAAATTTATTGTAAGTTTTTTAAGTTATTTATTTGAAATCACTGTTATCTTTTTTTCTTACAACTCGTCAAGTAATTTTGTTAAAAAGTTACTTAATTGGTTATCTTCATGTCATAACGAAACCACTTGAAAATTCGCACACAATTACTATAATAAAAAAATTCAATAGTTTATTCGTATATTTAATTGGTCACAATTACTTTATTGAAATAAATATTATATTTTATATATAAGTTAAATAGTTATATTTATATCATTCATTTTTACTTATAATAAAAAATTATAAAAAATGATGTACCCATTATCTAACTTATAATTTTAAATATTATATACACACATATGACGTGCAGAATTTTATTTGCATATGTACGTGTGCAGCGTATTGAAGAATAATTTATTTTATATTGCAAATTAAATCTTTAATTTTAATTCATTTGTAATTTATTCTAAATTAATAATTTTAACAATAAAATTTGCATACTTCGAATTTTTACAGATTGAGATGGTAATCAAATCAAAGTAATAATGTAGTGTTAAAACTCTTGAGGGAGAGCTTTGCCGCCCTTGTTGTCCTACCCGACTTGATTCCAGATTAGTCGGTAAAAGCTAAAAAACGCAAAATAGAATAAATAAATAAAACATTTTTATAAATAGATAGGAATGAGTCAAAGTGAGTCTCTTGACGAAATTCGGACGAAACCTCCATTTCTCATCAAAAGTCCAAGAGACGGGCCCACCGCCACCTGTCGGCCCACCCTTGACGCACCGTCTTACGTAACTTTATCAAATCCTCTTCACACTTTGCACACATAACACCCATAACAATCTTTTCAAATTACTACTCTAAATAATGGGAAATACTACGCTTATGTGACGGAACCATTTTGTCGGGAGTTATAAATATACATGTACTTAATATAAGATAGATGATTTAACGATTTGTAACCGTTAAATACACATGTATGTAATATAAAATAAATAACAGTTAAAACACCTTACGAGATGGTTTCGTAAGAAAACTATAGTCATTATTATTAATTAATTTTTGTGGATCCGAAGTCCAAACTCATACTTTTTCCACACCCAAAAAACCCTTTTAAATAGACATGTCCATTGCACTCGTGAAAGACTTCTCACTTTCTTTCACCATTTTTTTTTCCTATCCTTATTTCTTCCACACCTTTTTTTCTTCATTATCATCATAAATTAAAAAAAATAAAAAAAATAAAATAAAAACTACACCCATATTTAATTGAGTTTTATTATTTTTTTATTGGGTTTTTATTATTATTATTATATTATTATTTATGGACAGAGGATGGGGTCTCGCCCTTGAGAAGTCCGACCGAGTTGGGTTTTTCGGTAACAAGTCGTCGCTTTTTGGGGTTGATTTGAGCCCACGTTTGGATCGTCCGATCATGTTCCCGGTCAAATCTGGCGGCGAGGATAAACCCGCCGCCGGCGACGCAGGCGATCGCAGGGCGGTTTTGGGCGGCGAGGTGGATTTTTTCCTGGAGAGGAAGAAGCCGCCTTCTGTTGGCGCCGCCGTTGTGAAGAAAGAAAATAGTAATAATTCGGAGGCTGAGGGCTCTAATGGCCGACAATCGGATGTTAACGTGAGCTTGCCTGAAAAAACCGATCCAAACTCGATATTCAAATTAATAATATTGAATTTAGTGATTAATATTATTATTATTTTTTAATTTATAGACTGGGTTGCAACTTGTGATAGCCAACACGAGAAGTGATGAATCGACGGTGGATGATGAGATGTTCTGCGATGCCAAAAATGAGGTGAAATATATTAGATTTATTCTTCAATGATTTTTATTTTTATTAAATTTATTAATTAAAAATCATATATGTAAAATATTAGATTAATTTATGATTTATTTTTTTTATACTTATTTATTAATTTATTTCAATTGATTCAGCTTGCACAGCTTCAAGCTGAGCTCGAACGAATGAACGCTGAAAATCAGAAGTTAAGAGGGATGCTCAGTCAAGTGAGCTCCAATTACTCGGCCCTTCAGATGCATCTCCTCACGTTAATGCAAAACTCAAGAACCGATAGCCCTCAACATCAAGAGGTAACTAATTAGTTAATATTATCTGGAAAAACTACGGTCCCGTTTTGTAACCATTAGATCATCTAATCGCTCGTCAGATATAGTTGATGGTCTCGTAAATGTGGCATCTTCCATATTATCTATCAAATTAATTAATGAATATTAGTTTTTTTTTAATTAAGTTATTAATGTTGGTGTTTTATTTCGTCTAGAGAAAATCAGAAGAGAAGACCGAAGAAAAGGGGAAGTCGATGGTCCCGAGACAGTTCCTTGAGTTGGGACCCAACCAGACAGGAGACGAGCAGTCAAACTCGTTGTCTGAAGAGCGGACTTTGTCCGAATCTCCTCGAAACCAAGTGGACAACGTCTCAAAGAGCAAGAGGCCGGGCCGGGAGGAAAGCCCGGAATCCGAGGGATGGGGCCCACAGAAGGCCCCCAAGCTGGGCAAGCCCGCCGAACAATCGGCCGCGGCTGAGCCCACCATGCGGAAGGCCCGTGTCTCGGTCCGCGCTAGATCAGAGGCTCCCATGGTAAAGCTATCCATCACATCGAACAGTGTTTTATGAACTAATGTTCTTATTGTTGGTTGCTCATTTTGCTTCTTGTGCTTGGATTTTTGTATATTCCATTTTTACTTATTCGTTTGTTTGTGTGTTTGATCGTGTGTACAGATTTCGGATGGATGCCAATGGAGAAAATACGGCCAGAAAATGGCAAAGGGAAATCCGTGCCCGCGAGCTTATTACCGGTGTACGATGGCCGTCGGATGTCCAGTTCGCAAACAAGTATGTTTCTGTTTAACGTATTACATTCATAGATTTGGATACCATTATTTGAGTTGCATAGAGATGAACACGCATATTTTTTCAGTTTTATTTTAAATATTATTTTGATATAAACTCAAAATCTGACTAATAACCATATCATTTTTTTCAAAATTAACCATAGTTAAACATAAAAATTATCGTATCCAAGCATGCCCTAATTATTCGAGTAAAATTTTATAGGTCCAAAGATGTGCTGAGGATCGGACGATCCTAATCACGACATACGAGGGAACCCACAACCACCCGTTGCCGCCAGCCGCCATGGCCATGGCATCAACCACCTCAGCCGCTGCCAGCATGCTCCTCTCCGGCACGATGCCGAGTTCAAACGGATTAATGAACCATAATTTCCTTGCAAGGACAATACTCCCGTGCTCGTCGGCTGCCAGCATGGCAACCATCTCAGCCTCCGCCCCTTTCCCCACCGTAACCCTCGACCTCACCCAATCACCCAACGTCCCACTTCACTACCAAAGGTCAACTCCACCGGCGGCAGCCCAATTCCAAGTCCCATCATCACCTTTCGGGCCGGGCCTCTACAACCAGTCCAAGTTCTCGGGCCTTCAAATGTCACGTGATGTTGGCAACGAGGTTCAGTTGCCACATCATCCACTGACTCAGCTTGCCCCCGACACGCTGAGCGCCGCCACGGCAGCAATCACGGCCGACCCGAATTTCACGGCGGCATTGGCGGCCGCCATCTCATCCATTATCAGCGGCGGTGGCTACACCCACAACAACAACAACCCTAATCATCGTCCGAATAATAATAACAATAACAACGGTCCCAACATAAATTGATTAATACTCTATTGAAATTCAACATGTTCATTTGTTATTAGCCTCTTTTTTTTTTGTTTTGTTTATATACTTCAATTTATGGGGTATATTGTGGATTAAATGACATGTTCATATAGTTCTTTTTTTTTTTGGTTTTGTTTTGAATTTGATGTAATAGTTGGAGACTAAGGTGTAGCCAGGACTCAAGAGGATGCACATTCTTTTGTTATTGTTAAAATTTTTCTATATAATTACCATATTTTCCTGTTTTTATTTTCGGACAGTGAATATAATGTCTCAATTACTTTTTGAGTAAAAATAAACATTTGACCTTGTAAAATCTTGTTACGTGACCAAAAGGACAAAGAGAGAAGGGTAATAATAAAATAGGACAAACAATTTATTATATATTATACGGTTTTCTTACAAAATTATTCCGTCGAGGTTTGTAATCACGAAATCATAATGATCTAACGATTACAAATATCGTCAGAATAGTTTCGTTACGACGTTAATTCCGTAACAGAACTGTAGCCATGTTATCGTCAGAATAGTTTCGTTACGGCGTTTATAGCCATGTTACGTTGTGTTATGCTATCTGCTCGTGTAAATATAATTAATATAACATTATTATAATGTTTTTGTCTCGTTCTAGTGTTCTCGTTTTCTGGACTGTAATTGAGAAAAACAACAAAAAAGCAGACGACAAATTGAGACTTTGTGGTAAAGAAGCAAAGACCAAAACGTGGAATAGAATAAGATCAAAGGTGTGGAAGGAAGCTGGTAGTATTAATATTATCCTGATTGGAGGGGTCAACAAGTACGGCCCATTCACTGTTTGACACGTAGTCACGATGAGGAGATAGAGTTTCAAATCAAGGTTAGTACCGTATGAAGCCAAACAGTTGGTTCCATAGTGGAACCAACCTTCTATATACGACAAGTAAACTTATCATATTCTCTTGATTACTTAAATAACACTAATATAATTTTTTATTAATATGATAGACACTACAAAATAAATGTTATATTTTAACGGAAAATTCTATGGTAATATATTTCAATAGAAATTCCAACGGATATTCCAATGGAATAGCTTCCGTTGGAATAGTTCAACAGAAATTCCAACAGAAATATTCCGTTGGAATGTGTTTTTTATTGGAATTTTAGATGGAATTTGATGATTTCAACGGCTATAATTTCAACGGCTTTTTACCGTAGGAATTTCCGTTGGAATATGCAAATTCTGTTGGAATTTTTTTTCCACCACCGTTGGAAAATCCACCGTTGGAATCGTTAAAATCCAACGAAAATTCCAATGAAAAACTCATTTCAACGGAATATTTTCGTTGGAGTTTCCGTTGGAATCCATTGAAAAATTCCAACGAAAATAATAGTATTGAAACATCCGTTGGAATTGCCGTTGGAATAATTATTTGAAATATATTTCTGTTGGAATTTCATCATTTTTTTGTAGTGAGATTTATTTGTTGTATATAGCAGGTTGACTCCATTATAGAGCTAACTGTTGGCTTCATAACAAAACCGACTAGTTAGAATATTAGACTTTTAGGGCACTTCATAGCAACTTCCTTTGATTTTTTTGGCAGGTTCAATAATGTCAGAGAATCACGTCGTCTACATTTATTTGTTTATTTATTTATTTGCCTAAGTTTAATTACTTTAATTTAGTTTTAGTTATGGTGTTGGATTGATTTGTACGTGTGAGGAGGAAGACCTTGCCGAGCACACGACTTTGCTTTAGAAGCTAGCGGCGCCTAGCATTATCTTTATATTATTATATTGTAGTTTCTTATTTTATGTTTGAAATATGATCAATAGGCATTTTTTTGATTGGGTCAACTTTGAATTGAATTGCGGGGATATTTATAGCTAGTGAGTAATGGTATATGTATATAATATTGTATATAGGGGTGTACATAACACTCATATTGAGTGAGACCCTTTAAAAATAAAATAAAAATAAGTGGACCCCACTTCATGTGAGTGTTATGTACATCTCTATGTACATTTATTATGTACATGTAACATTTTCCATAGCTAGTCGCCTAGTCCCGGGATTGGTTATTCCTCCTTTTTTTTATTAGTTATTCAAATAATTGATTCAATTAGCTACTAAACTGAAACTAGCAGAGGACCCTGATGGATTACTACTACTCCCAGTCCCAGGCATCCTAGTGCCGCAAATCAGAGAAAAAAAAAAAACTCCCATCAGTAAAAAATGAAAACTACAACATAGGAAAATAAGACACTCCAACAAAGGAAAATAACACACCAACAAATCCAAAACACACAATACACATCTAAACTAGCACTAATATTCTACATCCCCTACATCTCGCGGGCACACCGCTACAACCATACTGACCAGCGCATCAGTCAAATCCCACAACGAGCCAAACTCCACAATCAACAACAAAAGAGAACCACAGATCAAAGCCCCAAAACTAAAATCTCTATTATATTCAAGTGGCTAGTCAGATTTGACGAAGAGACAGGTCTCAACCCAGATTTGAGCTCTCGTAATCTTTTAATTGTGAGGTAAACAGACGCCTCGAGAGTTGACTTGAAAAGCCTTATCGGAGGAACCGACGCTTCACCAAATGGGGGGTCCAGCCGAACCCAAATCTGACGAGCAGTAAACAAGACATACACCATCGACTCGGCCTAAGGCTGGATGCTGACAGTTGTGCAACGGTGGCCAGGCAAGAAGAGGCGGGGGGGGAGATTTGTCCTACTAAGTTTTCGCTGGAGAGAATTTTAGAGAGAGGGGCTCTCGATTTTTACTTTACTGATGTATCACGTTTCCTACAATGGTATTCATCCACTACAGCAGAGGATGAGACAACAATGAATAAAAAAAACTTTGATATTGAGGTTTTCTAATTGAGAAAGATTGCATGTACCAAGATTTATGTAGGTTAGTGGCTGATAAAATAAAATTAAATGATCCGACGAATAACTTGGAGTTTAAGTACCAGGTCAAAGATGGGTACCCATGCACCGATCGACATCAATGATGATGTTAGCTTGAAATTCTATGTGGAGCTAACTTGCGAAAGCTTTGATAAAACAATGTAAATCGTAAGTTAGTCTAACGAGTGTATTTCTATTGAACTCTATTTATATTTTATTTTATTTTCATGATTTGAATCAATGGATTATGTATTACAAACATAAGTTTATTTTAAATCCAGATTTCATGGTTGAAGTATATGATTTTTTTGTTGTAATAAACTAGATATTTAAATTAGTCTCTTAAATTCTCCTTGGCCCTTTTTTTTTTATTTAGGGTAAAAGTAATTTAAACTTGACTTTACTTTACATGCAGATAGTGTCTCCAATATTGGGATTCATCAACTACAACGGAATATGGAACAACAATGAACACAAGGATGAGACATGTTTACTTAAGTATTATCGCAATGATTACGTTTTGTTATAGATTCATTAATAACAAATACATAATTATAACATGCTAACTAGCTGGAATATGAGGACTAGTCAGGACAACCTAAATACCACAACACACTACAAGACAAAAACAAAAAATAAAAATAGAAAAGTACAACTATAAGGTGTCAGTGTGTGTGTGTGTGTAACAACTTCTCATAGTAAGCTACACATAAACCACAATTAAACGAAAGGTAAACATGGTGACACAATAAAAGATAAAAAACGATAATAATGATATATATTCACAAAACAAACAAGACTAAAATTAGCCACTCATCCGAATAAACAGCCAACACTCAGCTAAAACAAAATTAACAACACAAAACATTGGAATACTCTTAGAGGGAGAGTAACAAAAGTTCACACTAGTGGAGAACACAGACACTCCAACGAGAGTGAAAAAATAAAGCACAACATAATAAAAACAAAAACGTAAACACGAACAAACAAAACTAAATTCAAACAACAAATTGCCCTTGCCGGCAAAACACCAAGATACGCGCCGGCGCACCACAGTCGACCACTACACTGGACGGTGCCCCGAGAAGCCGGTCTAGAAATTGTCTAATGCCTAACTGTAC